TAAGACAAAAGAAGAGAAAAGAAAACTTCTATATTTTTCTTTTTAGTCTCATATAACTAAAATTCAATTGATCTGACTCTTGAGGAAATGGTTGAACAGTGAGTAAATAAGCATATTTCATGGTTAACAATAAATTCTAATATTTAAAAAAGACCAGGAAAAGCATTGTCTTACAGAAGCAAATATAGGCAAATATATTTTAGATTTCTATGTATTAGTGCTTTTGCATGTTTAAGTGAAAAGAATACTTGGGTTATAAGAGTGTGGAATCCTGATTATAGTACCGTTTTTTTCTACAAATTAATTGTTTCAACTTGATGAACTGCTATGTGAGATGCAGCTTCCTTGCCTGTGAAAGGAATGGGCTAATGAACATTCTATAGAAATTTCAAATTCTAGCATTTATTTTGAATTCTGACTTATAATGAGACACCCAAAAGCCAAAGCCATGGTCAGCGACTCTTTTTGAAATTTTAAGATGTATGAAACTCGTGCCAAGGAGATCCATGCCCAAAGGAGCACTGGGTAGTATAAGGCTCCACTGCTAGTAGGTCGTTTCTCTTTCTCTTTCTGGCCCAAATACTGACCTTTTTTTCACCTTTGGGGAGAGGTCGAATGTCTCCTCTTCTCTTAATGTGCTGTGCTGAACAGATATTCTGAGAAGAATCCAGAGACAGTGAATCACTCTAGTAGTTGTCTCTGAGCCACTTGCTCATCCCACCTTTGCTCCTGTTTGTGGGAGGCATTTAAGCTTCAGAGTCACAAATCTTCCCCAGAGAAAATGTGATGAAATGACTTCTGCACTCACAGGAGACTCAAGGATTTGATGAACTGGCATCCCCTAAGGAATTTCACTCTTTTCTTCAACACTAATGATAAAAGAAGGAAACACAAAGGAATTCTTTTCTCCCTCTCTAGTTGTGATGATAGAGTTAGTAATGAGTGCTGCATGCATTATTTTCACAAGCCCAAAGCTGCCTTCATGGTGTAACTTTGACGGCAATTTAGAAAGGTCTGGTTGCTGATGCCCGAAGTCTTTTCAAAGAGGATGGTGATACTTCCCACGTTATATGGACTGGCCATATTTAAACTCTATTTTTCAAAATTGAAATACAGTCAATTACAATGTGTCAATTTCTGGTATACAGCACAATGTCCCAGTCATGCATATACATACATATATTTGTTTTCATATTTTTCTCATTAAAGTTTATTACAAGATATTGAACATAGTTCCCTGTGTTATACAGAAGAAACTTTTAAAAAATCTATTTTTATATATAGTGGCTAACATATGTAAATCTCAAACTCCCAAATTTATCCCTTCCCATCCCCC